GTAAGTTGTGTAGGGCCTATATAAGCCCAAGAGATCTCCTAATAGGGTTAGGGTTTCTATTATCCTCATTATCAGATCATGACAGGTAGGTGCAACTTTCTGTGTTCTGATAACATAATCTATATAAATGGGCATAAAACTTACCCGTTTAGTCAATTGGGTAATGTAACTGTCAAATTAAAACAAGCGAGAGGGACAATTTGCTTCTTTTATTCGTGTTAATATCTACTTCTTTCCTGTAAGACTTGTAATCAGTGCTTTGTTATAATTCAAATATCTCTGTCCTGTTTTCATTGGCCTCAAAATATGCTATACAGGTTGGAAAGAGTAAATTTAAAGAGCAAGTCGGGGATTACGAAGGTGGCTGGTACATTGGTCTGCCTTGCTGGTGCAATGCTACTAAGTTTTTACCAAGGCATTGCCTTGACCAACACATCGCACAAGACATCAGCACCTAACGAAGATTCTGAATGAAATCAGAAGAGAAGGAAGAACGAATCTTTGAAGGGGGCTCCGGTAATGGGTAAGAGGTTTTATTTTCTTCGTTGCTTTATATTCTGAAGGAGATTAACCCTCCTTTTATAGGGGCTAAACCCACTATCTCCACCCCCTTCAGTTCCGCCCCATGAGAGATTTCCTCTCAACAAACCATTCCACGTTCCCACTTTTCTCTCAACAGAGAAACAAACGTTGATTTGGTCACCATGACCGAGTCTAGCTAACAATATGTAAATACAGTCTCACATCGAATGAAACAAAAACGAGTGACATGTTTAAAACAGAAATTAAGGTCAATATCTGATAGTTATACATTTTCAGTTAAAATTAATTCATAGCTTCTATTTAAAACTAATCAACTCCCCCCAACAAGGATGTTGAGTGTTGTTAAAACTCATGAGTCTGTGAATGTATAACTATCTGATAGTTATACATTTTCAGTTAAAATTAATTCATAGCTAATAATATACACTAGGTAAAATTTAATCTAGGCTTTGAAAAAAAACTTGTTCTAAAACTCTAACAACTTGAGCTTTTTTTTAACAGAAGGTTTGAATGGATGATAAAAAGTTTCATTTAAATTTCACATTACGATCTTTATGCTTAAAAACAAGCGAAGAAAATAAAAGATTTTAAAAAAACAAAAAAAAAAGGGAAAACTATTAATTCCCATCCACGCGATCGTGAGGATCTGCATTGGCCTGCCTTTTTCAATCACAAATATTGTGTGAACTAAAACAGAAAGCAAACAAGGAAAGACAACGACGAGGACCACAAAATAATAATAATAATAATAATAATAATAATAAAATCCTATTTCCTTTTTCTATTGACACCCGTAGAAATGTGTAACATTGATAACCCTGAAAAATGTGATTTGCAAATAGAGTAAGCCGTAAAGTTTGTTTTCTTTTGTTTCCTTAAATTAAATTAACAAGGCAACACGCAAATAGACAAATGTAAATGTCAAATTCCTAAGAGCATATTCGAGAACTACTGATTCTGATCAACTTAAGTTAAAATCTTGTGGACTATAATGTAATTGGTAAATTTAGTAGATTATATATTTTTTTTTAAAACTTCACATATTTTAAAAATGGGTAGATTATAATGTATTATTATTTTCAGAATAATATAAAAGGACCCTAGATTAATGAAGCCGATGATAAGTTAATAATAAGTTAATAATAACTAAGCTTAGATATTTGTGAAATGTCTTTACTTGGTCAAGCTTTATGGATTGTAATCCACCAAAAATTAAATTAGAATATCTAAACTTATTTTCTAATGGGTTATTATAATTAAAAAAAAAGAAATCTCGCAATATCTAAACTTATTTTCTAAAATTATTGTCCAAATAGCAATAGAGGCATTAAAGAAGGACGCATTTAAAACCCCAAAAATTCAGACGAAAATGAAGAAATAAGGAGGAAAAAGGGGAGAAAAAGAAGAGGAGAGAGAGAGAGAGAGAGAGAGAGAGAGATTTCTCTTTTATTAATCTCGGGAAAATGTCGGCGTCGACGGTGTGGTCCTCCGCCTCGGTATCCGGTCCTCCGCTCTCCTTCAAGAGACCCTCTCTCTGCGCTCGTCCAGCTTCACTCTCTCACCCTAACCCTCGACCTCTCTCTTATTCTTCCTTAAGGTGAGAAATCGAAATATTTTCAAAATTATGCCTAGATTCGTGCAAAGCATCTAAATCTACGACGACCCATTAAATTTTTTCGTTTGTTGCGGCCTAAAGGCTGGATCTTTTCACTTTTGCTGCTGTCCTACTGATAGCACGCTAGGAAATTTTAGTATCTCACTCAAATACAGCCGTTTTAGCTGTAATTCGTTGGGCAATTTTTGAGTTTCTTTGTTCTCAATGGGGTTTTTAGTGCATGTTGCTGTTTACAGCAGGAACTTGTTCTTCAAGTGTAATTCTTTTGCGAATTTGCCATATCTTTAGGTTTTAGTGTGTTTTGGGGGAGCTTGTTTTTTGGTCAAACTAGCTTTTAAGCTAGCTTTTTTATTTATTTATAGTTGTTTGATAAAATACCAAATAAGTTAGTCCCATTTTAAAAAGCCCCTATAACCCAACTTTTGAAAAACTATGTTTAGCTAAGCTTTGATCAAACAAATTATTATTCTACCCAAACAATTTTTATAGCATTTTTATCATAGAAGTCAAAAGCCACGAAAAACCAACATACCTTATATAAGCTTAAAAAAAAGGATTCGGATCCTCTCCACTACAACAAAAATAGTGGAGGGACCACTATATAATCACAGCCATTGATTATCTAGATGATGGTTATGATTTTTTCTTTTAGTGCAAATTAGGAATGAGTGCAATACACGGGGGTATGGTAAGTGTTAGATTTAGATTGTATCATAACCGCCTATTAAATAATCAACGCTTGAGATTAAAAGTAGTGGTCTCTCCACTACTTTTTTGTAGTGGAGATGATCCAAATCCAAAAAAAAAGCATTCATGAACACTGTGGGCTAGCCTCATTTTCGGAGTTTTGTTGCATGGAGCTGAGTGGAAAAAGGTTAGAAGGGGCAAAAAACGGTTTGTATAGTTAGTAGCAAAGATCAAAATAAGGATGAAGATGGTGCGAAGAATTCGAAGCTTTGCCATGCATGTGTTCTTGGCATGTTGATCTGAGTTTTCAATCAGTAATATAGATGCAAAAGAGCAAATTTCAAATTTTGGTGGAGGCGTTTGGAGGAGTGTTTGTATCAGAACCTAAAGTATCTATCAACGCGGAGCAAAAAAGGTTGTTTGCTTTTATTTATTTGTAGGTTTTTTTTTTGTGGTGGTGGTGGGGGAACAATGTTCACATGGTGGTAATTGAACATTAGATAGTGCAGGAAGCAAGTTCATTCTGATAATTTCTTTCATTTTTGAAATACTAGCATGTCCTAGTCTAAAATGCCACAATTCAGATTCAGAAATATAACAGGACAAGTAGTTCAAATTCGAAATTTTATTATCAGAATTATTACAAACTACTGGAAGAATGCATAATTCATGCTCGGGCACATATTTACCCATAGCATACACTTTATTATTCTTGCCTATAGAAACCCTGTTATTATAGAACCTCACTTCCAGTCCTTTCTTCATCAAGCTGGGAACAGAGATCAGATTGCGCCGAATTCCTGGTGCATAGAACACATCTTTGAGGACAAGAATGCTGTCCCCAAGATCCAATCTATACGAACCAATACCTTCTACATCGAGATAGGTATTATTTCCCATATAGATTCTCTGTTCTCCTTTCTTCAGCTCGGTGAATTCTACGACTCCATTCTTGTCCTTTGCGATATGCCTAGTCGCACCGGAGTCGATCCACCAACCACTGATATCCGTCATCACAGCATTACATTCCGTCACACCGACGAATTCTCTTTTGCTAGTACCCCCTTGTTCTGGATGCTTATAGCCTCCTTTATTCTCCTGCTTTTCACCTTGTGGGCAATTTGGCTTGAAATGCCCAAATTTCCCACAATTGTAGCAGGCTCCACGGGGCACTTTCTTTTTCTTGAACTGCTGTGACTTCGGTCCTCGCGGTTGTGGTTTATTAGGACCAGGGTTTTTATAGCTTCCAGCATTATGCCTCTGGCGGACATAATTCAGCTCTTGCTGCACCATATTCAGTTCTGGTTCCTTCCTACTGGCTATTAAGTCCTGTTCTATCGTTAGGTGCATAGGAAGATCAGTGACAGACTTAATTGCAGGGTTTATTCTTAATGTGGTGGCAGCCACAGCAAGTGAAGGGGGAAGACTATTCAAAATGGTTGCCACTTGCATTCTTTCCGGGATTTCGGTCCCAGCAGTGGATAAGTCCTTAGCCATGACAATCATTTTATTTATATGCTCTACGACATTGTCTCCCTCTTGCATACGACAAGAATTATACTTATGCAAGAGGAGTTGAATGTTAACTTCAGAAGCAGTGTCGTATTTTTCTTTTATTGCATTCCACATGTCCATGGAAGTTTTATAAGTTTCAAAAACTTTGATTAAATTATCTTCCATGAACATGAGCATAAGACTTTTCGTATTTTTATCTTTTGACTTCCACTGTTCAAACCCTTTCTTTTCTTCAGGTGTAGATTTATCAGTAAGGGTTGGAGCAGTGGTTTCGATTATATCATCAATGTTGTCATGAATAAGAGCATATCCTATTTTTCTATGCCACATATCATAATTACTGCCATTAAATTTGTCAATTTTCCCTAGTTCTGATAGAACGAGTTTACTAGCCATGCGGTAGAGAACTAAAACTAAATTCAATTTTAAATATTTGTATAAGATTGATATTTTGACAATAATACTAAATAATAATAAAAAAATGAATTAAATAAAAATGAACCTGATTGTTCCGAGTTGATGAAAGAGACTCCAATTTTAGCGAGATTATCACTCAGCGGAGTTGATTGGATCAGTACTTGTCGAAGTTTTGTCGTCGTTTCTGACCTTATATGTGGATGATCTGTTGCTGTCGTTAGATTCCACTGATACAGCTATTTTTTTTTTTTTAATGGTATGAAAAGGCTCTGCTTATCAAAAAGGAATTGGGTGCTCAAATGAATGTAAGAAAATGGGCCTGATGCTGTCGTTTCTCAAGTGGGATATATTAATGTGGGCTTTGAAAATAAAGTAGTTTGGTTTAAAACAGATGGGCTAGGCTATTGTTGAAGATGGGGTTTGGCTTTGATTCAACAAAACAAAAGATTGACAGGCTTTTGTGAAAGTGGGCCTGACAGGTTTTGATTTCAAAACGAAACAGAAGAGGAAAACTCAGAAGAGGAAAACTTGGTCTGGGTGACAAATGATCAGACCTGATACAGCTAGGGTTTTTTTTTTTTAACCTCAAAAGGGCAAGAGGCGGCTGGCTTTTTCTCTCCCTTCTTCTTCAAAAATTCTGGATCTCGAGCTTCGACCGATGGCCTCCAATCTCCTTCAGTCGTCGAAGTCGCAGCAGGATCGTCAAGGCGTCGTCGTTGTCGATCTATTGTCGTCGTCGTAGTCGAGTGAAACAGCCGTCAAACGAAGCAGTCGTCGACGTTCGAACTCCAAGCTTGAGAAGGCGGTGCTAAGATCAACCTCGCTCTGATACCAGTGAATGAAATCAGAAGAGAAGGAAGAACGAATCTTTGAAGGGGGGGGCTCCGATAATGGGTAAGAGGGAGGTTTTATTTTCTTCGTTGCTTTGTATTCTGAAGGAGATTAACCCTCCTTTTATAGGGGCTAAACCCACTATCTCCACCCCCTTCAGTTCCGCCCCATGAGAGATTTCCTCTCAACAAACCATTCCACGTTCCCACTTTTCTCTCAACAGAGAAACAAACGTTGATTTGGTCACCATGACCGAGTCTAGCTAACAGATTCCGGTCATTCCGTTAGAGGCAAATGGATACTGGGGACTGTTGCTCTTTTCGCAGCGATATTCAGCTGGTCATCGTGGTTCCTCCTCCAGACAAAAGTCAGTGAGAAGTATCCTGCTCTCTACTCTGGCACTGCCATCGTATTCTTCTTCAGTTTCCTTCAAGTTTTAGTCCTAAGCTTGACGACAGAGAGAGGCTTATCAATTTGGGTTTTGAAGGGAAGATGGAGATATCAAGTGTTCTAGTTTGGTAAGCAGTTCTAACACCACCCCCCCGGCCGCCGGCCCCCCCGGCCCCCCAATTGTGCAAGAATTGATCAAATTTAGTGGCAATGATGCCTTATCCCCCAGGGAAGGGCCTTTCCGTATGCTAAAACCGTGTACTTAACGTCCACATCATTTATTCGAGGAAAAACAGTTTGTCCTTGAACTACAAATGCCTAACCTTATCGAATTGGTTTATACTCATTTCTGTCATCTGTTATGTTGTTTCAAATTTAACACGTGATAAATAACGTGGAATTCAGGGGATTATTGGATCTGGAGTTGGTTTGTTGGTAATGTCATGGTGTGTAGAGAAGCGAGGTCCTGTGTTCGCTGCTGCATTCAGCCCTCTCATTCAAATTACGGTGGCTGTCATCGGTGTCTCCATCGTCCATGAACAACTTTTCCTTGGAAGGTAAGGATGAGTTAAAGACCTTATAGATTAATGCTTTATGATCTTAGGATATATGGCTTGAAAACTGTTGGTTTCGAGAGTGTAGACCTAAACCTAGATCAAAATCAACAATTCTGGAAAACTCAGCATCGGTCGACCGACACACATGGATCGGTCGACCGAATCGACTGTAAGAAACTGAGTAGAAAACCCCGCTCTGGTTGGTCGACCTAAGCAATGGCCCCGGTGGACCGAAAACATACACAAGAAACCCTGTAGAAAACAGAGTTCTGGACGGTCGACCGAAGCAATACTATCGGTCGGCCGATGGTGATCAACCAGTCAACCGATGAGATGTATATATATATATATATATTCTAAAATGTTTTTAGGGTGATGTGAGGACGTTTTTGAGAGGGTTTTGACGGCACTTTGAGATCAAAGATCTTAGAGAGAGTGGTCTATTACAAGTATTGTAATCTTCTTCAATTAATCAAAGAATTTCTGGTGTGGCTCCCGAGAACGTAGGCACATTTGCAGAACCTTGTTAAATTTGGTGTTTTCTTTTTTTGCTTATTCTTTCCTGCAAGTTTTCTTTTATTTGCTGTGATTTCTTACTTGCCTACTTTCGACACAAGATCTAGAAAGGCACGGGTTGTTGTGTGCTCAAACCCAATAACTGGTATCAGAGCTTCGTTCGACAAAGTTTGTGTGTGAAAGAGATGATAGGAGAAAGAATATCGAAGATTGAGAAGTTTGATGGATCATACTTTGCCTACTGGAAGTCGTAGATAGAGGACTATCTGTACCAGAAGGATCTCTACTATCCGTTGATGGGAAAAGCTAAAGGAAAGAAGAAAGAGGAATCAGACAAGGACTGAGAAATACTGGATCGGAAGGCTCTAGGGTAGATCTAGTTGTCGCTCGCCAAATCAGTCACCCACAACATATCGAAGGAGAAGACGACGATAGGGCTTATTGAAGCGCTCGTGAAGATGTACGAGCAACCATCAGTCACAAACAAGGTGCATCATGTCAAGACACTCTTCAACCTCAAGATGACTGAAGGGTATTCATTCACGTTGCATCTCAGCGAGTTCAACACGATCGTTAATCAACTTATCTCAGTCGACATCACGTTTGATGACGAAGGCCGGCCCTATTAATTCTATTGCAGTTGCCTGATAGTTGAGCAAGTTGCATGATCGTAATTAGCAACTTAGCGAGGAAGAGAAGTTGAAGCTGAACGAGGTTATTAGCATGATTCTATCCGAGGAGGTTTGAAGAAAATCGTCCAAATCAAAAGGTTTAAGTTCAGCCGTAAATCTCAAGCATAGAGACCGAAACCAGAAGAAGGATAACCAGAACAGGAATCAGTCGAAGTCGAAGAAGAAGAGGTCGAACTTGAAATTTAGACCTATCAAAGGGAAGTGTTGGAACTGCAGCTAGGAGGGCTATATGTCTTCAGTCTGCAAAGCGCTAAAGAATGATGTGAATGAGTAGGAGGCTCATATCGTGCAAGATGCCTTGATCCTTGTTATAGACGACGACTCTGGCTCATGGGTTATTGATTCAAGAGCCTCATTCCACGTTACTGCTAATAGGAAGCTTCTTCAGAACTATGTAGCATGAGACTTTAGGAAAGTATACTCGGGGGGACAACGAGCCTTACAGTATTGTTGGAAGAGTCGTTGTGCTGATTCATATAAAGGGCTCTAAGTAAAATATGAACAACGTCAGACACTTACCGAAACTGAAGAGAAATTTTATCTCGGTAGGCCAGCTTGAAGTAAAAGGCTATGTTTCAACATTTACCGGGAATTCGTGAAAGATCTCCAACGGTACTATGGTGGTTGCTCGCGGCAACAAAACAGAAATTCTCTACCTTACTTCACATGTGAGTGACACCCTCGTAGTTACATCTAGCAAGGAGAATGCAGATCTGTGGCACGATAGGCTCGGACATATGAGTGCGAAGGGTATGAAAATTCTACACTCACATGAAAAACTAACCGGCATCGATTCAGTTAAAATTGGTGTTTGCGAGGATTGCATCTACGGGAAGCAGAAGAGGGTCAGCTTTCAGAAGAGTGGAAGACCACCTAAAGCTCAAAAGCTAGAGCTTGTCCACACAAATATTTGGGGTCCAGCTAGCGTGTCTTCTCTTGACAGTTCAGAGTACTATGTTACCTTTATCGATGATCACTCGAGGAAGGTGTTGGTATACTTCATGAAACACAAGTTAGAGGTGTTCGGGATCTTAAAGAAGTGAAAAGCCATGGTAGAGAACGAGACAGATCTAAAAGTAAAGTGTCTGGGATCAGATAATAGTGAAGAATACGAATTGGAGGAGTTTAAGAAGTTGTATGGCCTGAATGAGATTCGTTTTAGAGATGACTACTCCAGGGACACCACAACAGAATGACGTTGCAGAGAGGATGAACAAGACATTAACAGAGCGTATGAGGAGCATGCGTTTACATGTAGGTAGCAGAGAACTGGAGTGTTATGAGGAGGCTATGCAAGTTAGTGAATCTTAACAGTGGGAGCAGGTGATGCAAGAAAATATGGATTCTCTCCACTCGAACGAGACATAGGAGTTAGCCCAGCTACATGCACATAAGAAAGTCTTACATAACAAGTAGGTCTATTGAGTCAAGCAAGAGAGTGATGAAAACAAGAGGTACAAGGCCAGATTAGTTGTGAAAAGGTTCCAACAGCGGAAAGAAGTTGATTATACGAAGATATTTTTCCCCGCCGTGAAGCTTACAATCATCAAAGTGGTGTAGAGCTTAGTAGCTGCTGAAAATCTTTACCTTGAGAAGTTAGATGTGAAGACTATCTTTTTTCATGGTGACTTGAATGAAGAAATCTACATGAAGCAACATGTTGGCTTTATGGAAGAATGAAAAGAAGAGATGGTGTGTAGGCTCAAGAAGAGTTTGTACGGTTTGAAAAAGGCTCCGAGACAGTAGTACAAGAAGTTCGATAATTTTATGTAGAGCAATGGCTTGGAAGATGTAATTCAGATCATTGTTGCTACTTCAAGAGGTTTGAGTCTAGCTATATCGTGTTATTATTATATGTTGATGACATGTTAGTTGTAGGACCGTGTTTAGAAGAGATAAACAAATTAAAAAATAAATTAGCGAAGGAGTTTGCTATGAAAGATCTGGGTACAACAAAGCAAATTCTTGGGATGTGAATCGGTCGAGATGAAGCTGAAGGGATGTTGAAGTTGAGTCAGGCTGAATACATCGAGAAGGTATTTCAGAGATTCAACATAAAGAATGTCAAGCCCGTCAGTACGCCTCTTGGAAGTCAATTCAAGTTATTTGAGGAGCAATCGCTCAAGACAGATGCAAAGAAGAGCACATGAGCAGAGTGTCATATTCATCAGCCATTGGTAGTCTTATGTACACGATGGTTTGCACGAGGCCGGATATTGCCCATATTGTAGGAGTTGTGAGCAAGTTTGTAAGTAATTCAGGGAAGCAGCATTGGGAGGTCGTGAAGTGGATATTACGATACTTGAGAGAGGCTACAGATATGTTATTGTATTTCAGGAGGAAGAAATTGGTACTGCAGGGATACGTGGATGCAGATTTCACCGGTGATCATGATACGAGACGAAGTATCATGGGGTATATTTATACCTTACCGTCGACAGCAGTGAAGTAGGTCTCACGTTTACAGAAGATAGTAACATTGTCCACGACTGAGGCAGAGTATGTCACAGTGACTGAAGCCAGCAAGGAGATGATTTAGTTGACCGGGTGCCTGAAAGAGTTGGGTTTGAAGTAGGAGAACGACGTTCTTTATTGTGATAGCCAGAGTGCTATACACATTACCAAGAATCCAATATATCATGCCAGAACGAAGTACATCGACATACATTACCATTTCATACGCTCGCTGATAGAGGACGACAAGTTACAATCGGAGAAGATTTTAGGGAGTCAAAATCCTGCGGACATGTTGACGAATGCAGTGACCATCGGCAAACTGGAGTTGTACGCAACTTCTGCTGGACTTCACGCGTAGGAGACGAAGGCGGAGCCACACTAAGAGGATAGGCGGGATCGCCAAGATGATATTGATTGAAGAATGGAAATTTTCCGTGTAGGAGAAGATGCTTGCGAAGATGGCGGAAGTTCGGGAGAGCTCGTTGATGGCGGTTTGGTCTTCAAGTGGGAGATTGTTGGTTTTGAGAGTGTAGACCCAAACCTGGATCAAATTCAACAATTCTGGAAAACTCAGTATCGGTTGACCGACACACATGGATCGGTCGATCGAATCGACTATAGGAAACTGAGCAGAAAACCCCGCTCTGATCGGTCGACCGAAGCAATGGCCCCGGTCGATAGTAAACGTGCACAAGAAACCCTATAGAAAACAGAGTTCTGGACGGTCGACCGAAGCAATACTATCGGTCGACCGATGGCGATCAACCAGTCGACCGATGAGATGATATCGATCGACCGAAGTCGGGTCAGGCGGTTTCCTGGTTCGGGTTGGAATTTGTTTTTTTGCTGTGTATATATATATATATATATATATATATATATATATATATATATATATATATTATATATATATATTATATATATATATATATATATATATATGTTTCCTAAAACGTTTTTAGGGTGATGTGAGGACGTTTTTGAGAGGGTTTTGACGGCACTTTGAGATTAGAGATCTTAGAGAGAGAGTGGCCTATTGCGAGCATTGTAATCGTCTTCAATTAATCAAAGAATTTCTGGTGTGGCTCCCGAGGACGTAGGCACGTTTGCCGAACCTCGTTAAATCTGGTGTTTTTCTTCTTTTGCTCGTTCTTTCTTGCAAGTTTTCTTTTATTTGTTGTGATTTCTTGCTTGCCTACTTTCGACATAAGATCCGGAAGGACACGTGATGTCGTGTGTTCAACCCAACAAGAACCATAAACTCTCTTGTGGTGCGTATACTTAATTAATTAAATAGATGTTGGCGTTAGTTGATTTTGTGTCTAGCTAGGATAAATTAGTTGGCCAGTTAAAGTTGTTTTAGTGCAGAGTGCTTGTGGGTTTAGCTTCCAAGTGTGAGCTAATCGGTCAACCTCTCCAGTCTAAATCTGTTATTTATCATGGTTTGTGACCTAATTTCAGTCAACCTCTCGAGTCTGTATCAACATGTTAATATATCGACCATCTCGATCGTCTAAACCATGCTGTTCGAGACCTACTCACCCAACCTCCCGCATCTAAGTCAGTGTGCAACGCCTCCGTGCAATATCTCAAGTCACTCAAAGGAGGCACATTATTATCGTTTTTAAGAGCAAAAGAAGAGAGAGAGAGAGAGAGAAAGAGAAGTAGGGATCGAAGTGGTAAATTTGAAATTTTGGTTATAAGTGGATTTTCTTTTGAAGAAAAAAAAAGGGGGTATATCTTCTTTGCTTTGCGAGGCCTATGAATGTATTTCTTTTATGCAGCATTTTAGGATCAGTCCTCGTCGTCGTTGGCCTTTACTTCCTTCTGTGGGGAAAGAGCGAGGATGTTCGTAATACCGAGGTGATGCCGAGCCTGCAGAAAACCGAAGATATCCAGGAATTGTTCCCAACACAGACTGCATAACCAAGTTGGCCGGCCTATTTCAGTTGTACGTTATAGTCCTTCTTATCTACTTAATTCGAAGTAGTTTCGTCTTTCCAAAGTTTGAGCGTTCGTGCATGTACATATTTTGGTAATGATCCCCTGCCATATTTTCTGCTTGGATTACAATTTCTTTTCTACAACAAGACTTCGTTTGTCAAATTTTCGTTTCACCTGTAGTCGACTTTATCGTTAACTCGTAACAACCGTCTTGTATGAAAAAAAAGAAAGAACCTATCATAGAGGGTATGTATGTATTAGATTCATACTTTTTTTGTTAGAAGATAGGGTGGAGCATAAAATTCCAGCCAAAAAACATATATACATATGAGCACAAATCAACGCTAAGCGACCGCAACACATTCAGAGGTCATGAGATCAAACCAGCAGATCAAAAAGAGAACAAACATAGCGAACCACAAGCCGAGTTATAAAAATCCATCTACGTACAAAAGCATCACCACAGAAGCAACACAGAATAGTTGCTCAAAATTTTCTTCTTTGTTTCTTAATATATAGCATATTTACCAAAGAAAGAACGGTAATTTTGTGTTAAATGGTATTTGGCTGTTAGATCACGGTTAGTGGAGCAACGAGGACCAGAGGTAAAAAAAAAATCTAAAGGGTTAGTTGCAGATAGACACCCTTTACTATTATTGCCCAATCACAGATAGCCCCCATAATGTACTATTGCCGAATTGCAGATAGACCCCATGTAGTTCTATTGTTGCAGATAGACCGCCTGAGCGAATTTTTTTTGACTCTAATACTCTCAGCAGGTTTATTTGTCAAAAACCATTCTCATTCTTTCTATAAGGCTAGAAGAGTAAGCAAATCGCCCAGGGGGTCTGTCTGCACAATAGTACTAATTAAGGGGGGTCCTATCCGCAACTAAACCAAATCTAAATGAGCATGAATAAAAGCAATTGATAAGGAGATACAAGAAGATGATATATACAGAAGAAAAAGCTGAATATAATAAACAGTTCATTTTGCTTGTCCAAAAAAGATTGGGACAAAGCTTTCACGGTCGATGTTATTGTATTTATAACATGACCAAAGAATTATGCCTTGTAACTAATAAAAGATTAATATAAGTTATCAGTAGGATATCCCATTATCAATAATGTTCCATTTGTCATTTCTCAGGTTCCCACTACAACTAAAATACATTAATTGCAGGCCGATCCAGAGACCAGAAGGGGAACATTGAAAACAGCCGGCCCTTCTTAGTTTATCAACCACACTCAAAATTTTTGTCTACCTACTGCTCTTCACTCAAACTCTCGTAATTAATGTCTCATCTACAAAAACTGAACCTTTTTTATTAGTAGCTCTGCTCTTTAATTAGCGTGGATAATCTTCATGTCCTTCAACATCTTGCACCGTTGCATCGGAGTGATATCGATCAATGGCTGCGATTTGTTCGCCTCTCGCTTTTCGATGTGGACCCCCCTCTGTGTAGATTGCTTGCAGAACTAGGTGTTCGCTTGCTTTTCCTTTCCTTGTTCTTGCCTTGAAACCAAGAGTTCCGTATCCAAGTCTACGATCACTTCTCACACAATGAGTTACATACGCTGCAATGACAATCCTTTGTTTTCTTCAGAAAAATTGATCGAGTTGACCATTAGTACTACTGCAGCTATCTAGAGATCAAGCCCGAGCCCAATTTTGATCATCAAAGTTAGTGACTTCTCATGTCACCCGCGCGCGTAGTAGTATAATATACCATGGGAGTTTGATGCCGGCCATCTTGATCCCTATCAATGTATATCTATATATATTTTTTCTATCTTTTTTGTCCTTTAACACAAATAACAACATTCCAAATTAGCCCTCATCACTTTTATAAGCACCCTCTTAATGATCGCTCCCGTGATCACCAATGGATCCTCACTCTCCATTCCTCGTGCAAGTTGCACTACTGCTCAGCTTGTTGGCTCTAAGCGCCAGAACACAAGCCGTCAGCGCAGCTGCCAGCAAGATCTCGCCGCGTGTCTCGCCCTCTCGGGCGTCTCCAATTTCACCGTCCGCCCGCCGACGCGCCTCAGCATACTCCAGCCTCCTCAGCTTCTCATCCAGAACCTCAGGTTCTCCAGCGCTTCAGCGCCTAAACCCGTCGCGATAATCCTACGCGGGCACTAAGTTGCACCTGCGGAGCACGATAGTAATCTGCCGCCCGCGTGAACGCTAGGCCATCAGGCTGAGGAGCGGAGGACACAGTTAGCGAGGGCCTATCCTACCTCGCGAGACAGCACACCCCCTTCGCGGTAGTTGCATTGATGAACATGAACCGGGTATCGTCCACCTGGCGTCCGAAGTCCGTCTGGGCCGAGTCGGGTGCGACGCTGGGCCAAATTTACCATGCGGGTCGCTCGCTCGAGCGATTCTTGGCCCTCATCGGCCGGTTCTTGCCCCACGTCGGCAGCGGCGGTCACGTAGCGGGCGGCGGGTTCGGGCTGTTGTCGAGGAAGTACGGGCTGGCAGCCGACACCGTCATCGACGCGGTGATGATCGACCCGGCGGCGAAATTCTGCACACGAAGACACGATGGGCGAGGACGTCTTCTGGGCGATCAGAGCGGGGGCGGCGGCGGCGCGCTGGGCGCCGTCTAACGCTTGGAAGCTCCGGCTCCGTCGTGTCCGAAAAACCGTCACGCAAGTTTTAATCGTGAACCGCCCCGGGCGGGCTCGACGGGTCGCGGGGCTGGTCCACAAGTGGCAGTCGGCTCGCGCCGAGGCTGCCCGAAGAGTTCTACGCTGTCAATGCTTCGTGGGCGCCGCTCTGCCCGAATCGGACCGAACCGGAGCACTGTCAGCCACCTTCAAGGGGTTCTTCCTCGGCCCGGCCCGAGAAGCCGTCGCGCTTTAAAACCGGGAATTCCCCGAGCTGGAAGTCAGCGCGCCGGACTGCTACGAGACGAGGCTGGGTCGATGTCGGTGGTCCTTTTCTCGCGGCCTGAAGAAGGGAGCCCGGTGTCGAGCCTCTTAGAGACCGGGAGGCTGCGCGCGAAGAACGTCCTTCAAAGCGAAGTCAGACTACGTGAGGTCCCGATCCGCTCGACGATTTGGTCTCGGCCGTCCGCTCGCTGTCCGCCGAGCCGAAGGCCTACCTCATCTTGGACCCTACGGCGGGGCGATGGACAGGATACGGAGGCGACCCACCTGCCGTTCCCCATGCGCGACGGGAACCTCTACGCGATTCAGTACCGTAGTCGAGTGACCGACGGTGGGGATTCCGCACGGGGAGGAGTAAGTCGAGTGCTGCGGAGATTCTACGCGCGCATGGGCCGGTTCGTGTCGAGTGGCGCCAGGGCCGCGTACGTTAACTACTTGGATCTGGATTTGGGGACCGTCGCGGTCGACGGCGACGGACGGTGGCGACGGGTGAGCAGCGGCCGAGGGCGTGGGGGGAGAGGTACTTCCTGGGAATTATGATAGGTTGGTTCGGCCAAGACTGTTATTGATCCGCTTAACGTGTTCAGCAATGAGCAGAGTATCCCACCCTTGAGCATGGCCTCAGTCTCGGGTCCGGGTTCGGGTTCGGGTTCGGGTTCGGGTTATAGTGTCTTGTGAGAAATGTACATGGAATGTTTTGTAAAGCAATAGAACCTTGTTATGGTACCACATGAGTATGAGAATATTATCTGGTTTTTTTGGGGGAAATATAGACATTTGCAAGTATTTTTCTTTTCAATGGAAGGCGAAGTTGAGATAATTGATGTGGAAGAGTGCCCCAAAAAAAAAGGTCTTGTCGAGGGATTGGAAGTATTTTCTGTTGGACAAAAATTTCAATTTAGCTCAATTCCGAAACTTATTCTTAAAAAAGGACCTATTTGAAAAATATTAACCAAATTCGACCCAGTTTCAGCCAACTGGCTGAAACTGGGTCGAATTTGGTGAAAAAAGCTACAAAACTTCACGGGACTTCAAGTCCCGTAAAGTTTAAACCCCCTTAAACTTAATTATCTGACGCTTAAACTTTTGTAACGTAAAGTTTAAACTGGGTCGAAGTTTTGTAATTTTTTAACCAAATTTGACCTAGTTTCAGCAAACTGGATCGAATTTGATAAATAATTTCTAAATAAATTGTTTATTGAGATTAAGTTTCTAAATGGGTTGTTTTTTAAATTTTGTCCTTTCCCGTTCAAATTTGATAAAAAAATGATGAAA